ACTTATTTCTTATTTCAAAATGTGATTTTATAATTCTTATTTGGAGATGGTTAATCATTTTCAAATATGATTTGCTTATAGATAATCATGGCTTAGATCTCCTATTCTATTTGTAATTTTTAAAAATAGAGACAAAAAAAAAATCTATATATTATTTTTTGAGAAATTTTAATGTTGTCTTTATAACTAATGATATAAAATTAATTAAATATTAGAGCTCTTTATAAATAAAATATTAATTATCTATTTATATAGAAATATAATTAAATATTTTTTAGGCTCTTAATATTTAATTCTTTCATATTTATAAATTTAAAATTTAGATTTCTATGCTATTTTAACTTAGTTAAAAATATATATATTATCCTATAAGAAATTTCTTGGAAGAATTTTTATTTTATTAATTGCTTTAAGAGATCTAAACTAAATAGATGTAAAAAAAGAGATAAAAGAGAATAAGAGACTATTTATTATAATGATTTTTTTTTGCCACATTGAGTTTTTTTGCATACTAGTAGTCAAGTTCTTTTGGCCTTTATAATAAGAATTGGTCTGTATCTTTTATAGATATTAATAGGAATATATAATCATTTTAATATATTTTTACTTATCCAAGTCTATCCAAAATTAACTATCTATAAAGGTTTGATAAAGGTTTTATATTGTTGATATATTATAGACTTGGACCAATTGATTTTAAGTCTTGGGATATTTCTAAATTAATATATAACATTCACTACTTGAATTATTATCTCTTCTTCTCATATTATAAAAAATGTGAAGTTATAAGATATTGACTAATAATTTTGTTAAATTTTCCATTTAAAAGAAGATTTTTTTATATCCTTTTCTATTTGATTTCTTCTTACATAGTAATATTAAGGATTTTATCTTATTTAATTAAAATAATATAAGACCAAGAAACATCTTTGTATCACTATTTTAATATATATATATATATATATATATAATTAAATTTCTATTTATACAAACTATAGCTTCTATTCTTTCAAATCATATTTAAATTATTATTTTTAAACTTTGAATGGAATTTTAGAATTTCCTATAGTGTGAAATAAGAAATTTGAAGATACTTTGTCAAAGGCTTTGGAGAAATCCAACTTTAATAGATAAAATGGTTGATTTGAATACTTGACCTAATAAATTTATTCTTAGATTATTTAGATATTATCTAAAATAGATCTAAAAAAAAGAAATCTAATCTAAATAAATAATTTTCATAAGAACTTATTAATTTTTTTTAAAAAAATAGGCTTTTTTTATATCTTATAAAACATGTTTAGTAATATTACAGATTTTTAGTTATTTAGAAATATATTATTAATAATTTTAAATATATATATTTTTTATTAGGCTTTAGAGAAGTTAAATTGAACTTAGACTAAATTCACCATATTTGTGTAGTCTTTGCTTATAATGTCCTAGAAACTTTTGAAACATTTAACTTCTTTTCCATTTGGACTTGCAACTTTTTTTACTACCATATATTTTATAGGTAAGGCTAGATTTTCTTTAATAATAAATTTAATCAAACCAATATTCAAGTGATTTATAACCTTTGATTGAATAAGAATTAATACATTATCTATCACATTTTTTCTTATTTACATGTTAATTAGACTAATATAAAGATTAATATAGAATTCCTAATGTGCTTCTTTAATAAGACTTTTTCCATATTCTTTAATACCTTAGCCACTCTTAATATGTATAATCTTAAGTCTCAAATGTCTATCTTTAGTTATCTAAAAAAAACACCTTTATCCATTTATTATTATAAATTTTCTATCTTATATTTATTTTTAATTCTTAAAATAAGATTTTTTTTTTATTAGAATCAATTCATAATGCATTGTAAAATCATTGAAGAATACTTATAGCTTAAATTAGACTTACACCAATTCCTCTTCAAGTTCTATTTTTTAAAATCTATAATATGCTTAATCTTTAAAAAATAGATTACAAAAGCTTATATATTATTAAATTCTATTTTAAAAAGAACCATCATAATAGAAAGATATCAATATTTTACATATTTAGTCAACTATCTTTAAATTGTTAAAATAAAAGGCATTTCATTTATAACATGATCTTTGAATACTTATTTGATGAAGTTATATAGATAATTTTAGTGGTAGATGATTTAACATAATGATATTATCTCTTATTTTATAAAAATAAATATTTTTTTGAGAGCTAAAATAATTATTGGTGTAGAACCTATTTAGTCTTATCAATATGTAAAAAAAATCTATTTTACTATCGTAAAAGTGTTTAAGTAGCTTGTATATATAAAAAAGTCTTCTACTTGTAATCTTGATTATAAAAAATTTAATAATCATTTCTTGCTAGGATTAAACTACAATTTAAAGACTTATGTTAGTAAAGCTATGTCATATTCCAATCACCTCAAAGAATCTAAAGATAATCTAAAGGTACCACGTCTATAATATTTATATATAATCTAATATTATTTTTAAAGTTTGTTTAAAGAATAGATATTTGCCACTTATAATTTACTTCTTAGAATATTATTTTTATTATAATTTTTATATATATATATATATTTTTTATTGAAAAAAAATGAGAATGCACTTATCTCTTATTCCTACTCTATTTTGATTCTTTACAAATTTTGATACAACTTCAAGTATTAAAAAAACAATTTTTGGCCATAATTAATTTTATTACATAATATTTAATATTAAAGTAGTATTATATTGCATCTAAATATAAATATTTTATTTATAAAATTTTAGTGAATTATTTAAATAAAAAATATTATGAAAAAAAATATTCAACTTTATTTAATACAAAGAAATGAATAAAGAAAATCTAAATTTTATAAAAATTTTTTTTTAATAGATATTAGTTTATAATCTATTATTATATATGGCTCATAAAATTGAATAAATATAAGAATTTTATAAAAAGAGTAATTCTTCAATCTACTTTCTAACATCAATATGATACAATCTATGTAAAAAAGAGTGTTTATTTATTTATTTTAAAAAAATTATTTTCTTTACCATTAGTTGTTGCTTAGGAGGTTTATATCTATAAAAGAAGATTCTATATTTTTGTTTTGAATAATGTGTTATATATTGTTGTCTTATGCTTCCCTTTAATAATAGTTCTTGGAGCATCTTGAAACTTGTTCTTACTATCATGTTACATTTAAGATTTTACAATTTTTCTACTAATATTATTTTATAGAGTAGTAGAAGGGTAGTAGTTTCTATGCTAAAGCCAAATTGTAAAAAACTTATTATTATTGCTTAAAGACTATGTAATATTATTAAAAGAGTCTATTAAATATAATAGTAATTATTCTATTCTTTGCTTTGAGTTAACATTGTTGCTAACATCTTTGTAGTTATTTTAAAATTGACTACCAAAATCTTTTGCAACTACTTAGGCTCTCAATACTTTAGTGATATATTACAAAGTAACTTGTTTATTAATGTTTTTACTTATATTTTATACCAAATTAGTTGGATCATTTATTATAGAGATTAGAGTTGTTTTGTTGTTTTTTACTATTCAACTACCTTCTTAGTCATGAATTATTTGTGCCTTTTGTCTAATGATTGTAATCAAAGTTATTAAAAAATAACTTAAGTTGTAGTTATTATACTTAGTTCTTATTAAGCACTTACCTTCCAATCATCCATGTATTTTATTAATTAATGTAGTTAAAGCCTTAAAAAATAAAATTAATGCATATTCTTTTATATTATTATTTTATTTTATTTTATTTTTAATACATATATACCTTTTTGGAGTAAATTCTACTCATAAATCTTTAAGATTTCTGCCTAGTGCAATACCATAGGAATTGATGTCATTGATTCCTATTATAATTAAAATATACTTTAGTGTAATTGAAAAGATTTGAATTATAATAAAGATTATTATTGCCAACTTTGAGGATCCAATAGAGTGGATGTCAAGGTCATCAAAGCTACTCTAGTTTTGATAATATTCTTCTTGAGTAAATGGCTTGTGCATATAAATAAGTCCATCCAAGTTTTTGACACTATGATTCTAACTTATATTCTAATCTCACTTCAAGACTCTCTAGCTTATATTTGATAATAACAATTATAATTCTTTTCTATTTCAAATACAAAAATCCATGTAAAAGTAGAAAATTCTAGCGTTGTCTAAGAAAAATTAATCTAGTTCTAACTTTTAAGATATTCTGATCCAAATTATGATCACTAGACATCCAAAACACTTCTACTCGATAGACAAGATCAGCAACCTTACGAAGCTAAGATTGAAGTGGGTGGGGTGTACATCGGACAGTGAATCTCGAGGAATGTTCATCAATTTCTAACTACAGCAACTGGTTTGCCATCGCCATGTCATGGTACCCAAGTTATTTTTCCGAATTTGAACTTTGAAATGCAGCTTTACATCAACAAGTTGAACATAGGCAAAGTTCAATCCATGGAACACCTAAAAGGCATTTATGCTCGCTAAACACATGCCTATAACCAACGGATTGCTGGCATCTGTATAATCGCTCAATACTGAACAGATAGACCATTTTCCTAGACTGACCTAACCATTTGTGCGAAGAGATCCAGGTCATCCAACACGCAAGAGCGAGGAAGGAATTTCTCAAAACTTTCTTGGAAATTTGAACCAGTGGACTCTGAGGTCACAGCTAGCTTTACAACCCATACAGCGGTTATAAGACCACATAAATGTATAAATAATAATAAAAAAAGGGTAGCCAAGTACAAGAACTAAGAAGAATGAAATCATAGTGTAGAGCTACTGCAAAAGAAAATACCACAAGCACAGCACAGATTCTGAAGGTTTAACTGACGTGCTTCACAGCATAAACATGACAACATTCAAAACATTGAAAGCAAAAAAGAAAAACAAATAGATGAATCCCAAACAGCAGAGTGAACTTGCCAGCTGCAGCAGGAACATCTGTCACAGTTTAGTCAAGCTCCACCAGGTTGCATAAACCAGAAAAAAGTATCATTTTAGAATTAGTTTTGCGGCATCAGCACTGAATGCTGCACTACATTTGTCAATGACTTGAAGGGTAATCAAAATGCCGCGTAACTTGTTTACAACACCGAAACAAAATTTGATGTCATCTCAAAATTAAATCAAAGTCAACGGTCAACAATTCGTACTGGCTGCTGCTAGGATTAAATTCTGGAGCATCGAATAATTTATTACACACAACTAGGACATTTTCAACCCTATTCCTCAGTACTTCGATAATAGCTTGCGAAGATCTTTCCGAATTGCCAGAAGTTAGCTGTTCATCACTCTACATCAACCGATAGTAGTATAAACCCAATGCCATGTTGTGCATGTAGTATCTTGTGAAACTTAGCACAAGCGAGGTTCGAATGAATGTTCAATAAAATTGGTAAGGTAGGTCACCAAGAACTTGAAATCGACCTCTGAAACAACTCGATCCATACAATTTCGGAAGGAGTGGCCCGGTGCGGTTTGTCAGAAGGACATCGTCACGGTATTGTATAATGCACGAAAGTATAATCGAAACATTGCTTGAGCATTTAGAAAACACTAGTTGAGTCGGGCTTCACCTGATGGCTTCCGCTGAGGTCTTCATGCACTTCGTATCCTACAGGACCCATCAAACATATAGTCAGGGTAACCCTGTAGAGGTTCTAATGGAGGCAACATCAATAATCACAGAGGCTTGTATCGATTCCTGCAAATTCATTACATGTGCATCATCAGTATCAAGTCAGCAAAGAGATTACAAAGCGGCTGATCCTCACTCATGGGTTAAGCTAAACCTAAAGCCTCAACTTTTGAGTCAAACCCATGCTGCAAGGCTCATGACATGGATTAACCACCCACTGGAAAACTTCATAGAAACCTCTAAAACAAGGCTCAAAGTCACTGAGAATCTCGTAAAATTCCACTCCCCTAAGCAACCAAAGACCAGACATACCACGTAGGATAAGAAAATACGCCAAAACTGCAAAACTCGAAGCTAAAGAGGCAGTAGCTACGACTGATACGGAGAGAGAGGGGGGCGAAAACACATCCACTTCTAAAATGGGGTTGACAACACGAGAATGCCGAGCACTCTTAAGATGAACAATGAACTACAGCAAGAGAGACTTCAAGGAAACTAAATGAAGATTGTGGCTGCGAGGGTTGTGTGGCGAGCAAACAAAATATCCTTCTGCTTCCTTCTTCCTTTTCCTGGCCCCTGACTTGAGATTCTCTGCGTAGCTGCAGCGATGGCATCCATGCTGATGGCCGAAGCATCTAATCCAGCTTGTTCTGCGCTCACTTACTGAATCGGCATTGAAGCATTTAAATTATAATTCAATTTTTAGAATCTATAAGTTTTGAATTATACAAAAAGAAAACTATTCCAATTCATTTGAATGCAACTTAGTTCTTTTGAACGGTTTATATAAACATAGATATACATCTACTTATACATGTACTATAATTTTTTTATTAAAATATTATTTCAAAACACTAGTGAAATGTTTTTAATCATGTACCATCAAATTTATTTAAATTTACTTTTAAAATCATGCACTAAGATTGTTTAAAAAACTTGTTCTATGATTTTAAAAAAAATACTACTTACATGAATATATAAATATGCATAACTTCTTAAAATTAATAAAATAAAATAAAATAAAATAAAAATTAATACATCATTTTTTTTTTAGTGATTTTTAAAAATTTTCATGTCAAAGATATGAATAACAAACAATAAAAACCTCAATACACTCTTATGCCAATCTAAAAGAGTAGATATTCATTGAAAGTAGTATAGTATTAGAACTAGAATAGCTATTGCTAGAGACAAGAAGACTAAAGATTCTTGAAATTAGACTAAGAACAAGAAATGTGTTGATATGAGTAAAGAAGGCTTCATTCTTACATCCATATATACTACATAACTAAGAGCTATATGACAACATTCTATAAGACTTTCAACAAGTGGTTAACTTGCAAAACATATGTCTAACTTATAAGAGAAGTTTCCAACTTGTGTGGCACATAGTCAATATGTTGGTCCAATTTTTAACCTACTAATTAACTACAAATTTGTACAAAGTCAAATCCTTGTATATAAAGCTCTTAAGAAGCTTCTTCATAAGATATTATCAAATTTATTTATATTTATTTTCTTTCTTTTTTTTTTTTTTTTTTTTTTTTTTATAATTATACATGTCCATGACATTGCTTCTTTTCCTTAGGATAAGTTCTACAATGAACAATGACCACATCTTGATTCTTTATTTTTAATTTTGATGGATGTTGTTAATAAAAAACATCAACCTTCATTCATACATTTGTAAGATTCTTGATTATTTCTTACATGTGTTCACTAATATTATATCCACATCAATGTGTAAGATATTCTATGATATTTTGGCATTGCTTTAAGTCCATGACTTCTTCAACCTCAAACTCTTGATTATTATTCACTTCTAAAGAAAGAGGTGGCTTTTGTCTATGTTTCAGTAAATTAATTTTCTTATATGGCTTAAAAAGAAACACATGCAACATGGGATGGATCTTCATAGACCTTGGTAGGTGTATATGAGAAGAAACTAAATTGATATATTTACAAATAAAAAATGATTCAAATCTACAATAATCCAACTTATCAAAAAGGTAATTAATCTTGATATTACAACAAAGTAATTATACCTTGCTACTTATGTGGAATTAAAGTTGTTCTTTGTAATAGATATGTGTCTTGCTCTTTTGTCGTTCTTAAGATTTTTTTAATTGTACCTTCATTGTTGCATGTAACTTTGATAAGCAATTTACTAAATCTTTTATCATAAGATTATTATATTTTGTGAAGTCAAAAATATCAAGTTTTAGATGATAACCATAAATAGCAAAAAAAATATTTGTTGATTAAAAAAATATATTATATTATTACAAGAAAACTTTGCTAATAATAAAAAAATTACTCAATTATCTTAATGGTAATTAATGCTACATTTCAAATATTACTCAAAAGCTTGATTCATCTATTTTATTTATCTATCAAATTAAAGAATAAAAGCCATAGATAGTTTTATATCCACCTTAAATATTTTGAAATTTTTTATCTAAAATCTTAATATAAATTGGATCCATCTATCAGATATAATGTTCCTTGATAATCTATAAGAATAATAAATATTATCAAGAAGATATTTAGTTGTTTCTTTATATGGAATAGATTTTGTACATTGCACAAAATGAGTCATTTTGGTAAAATAATATAATATCACAAATTTGTGAATCTTCTAATCTAAAATAATCTACTATCACAAATATAAAATCATAAGAATTTGAGACTAAAAGATCCATAATAAAATCTATAGAAATAAAAGTCCGTACCTGTATTAATAGTTATTATGATTAAAAAAGTCTAAGGTCGATGACGAGGAATATTTTTATCTCTAGCAAATGACACATCATTGTATAAAGTCTTTAATTTCCTTTCAAATTTGATGCCATTAAAAATCTTCAAATATGAGCTTGAAGGTTTTGTTGTATCCAAAATATCTTGCAATTAGGAAGTTGTGAAAGCTTGAAAAATATATAATTATACTTCACCTTTTAGAATATATAAGCATCCTTAAAAATAGAATAGATTACTTCTTGAATCTAAACATTGAAATATTGTGAGATTTAAATAGATTATTTTTAATATCATAAACAAGAAGATCTAAGAACATATTTGATTGAACTTGTTTAAAGAAAGTTGAATCAATAATCAATATTGATTTCATTATCTAAAAATGAAATTACTCTTGTTTTAAAAGGATTATTTTTTCTTGATAAAAAATTATTTTTCTTTCTTTTGGTACAAGATATGAATGTCTAAAAATGATATTTCACAAAACTTATTGTTTTTCTTATTGATTAGCGAATTCAAATTATAGTAAAGACATATTTTAACGGCCTTGGAATGATTTAAATTATGTAGTAACATATAATATTTAAGGTTCTTCTAATTTGTATGTATAATAATTAGATTTGAAGCTCTTTCTATATAATGAAGTTATTTTTGAAATGAATCTATAATTATAAGAAGTTTTTTTGCTATATCTTATAATTTATCTTAATTATTGAATATTTTTTAGAATAAAAAGCTACTTGGTGAAGTTTGTCATCTACTTTTATTTGTAATAATCTTGTTGTCATATAATAATAAAATTATATAGTGAAATAAATATATATATATATATATATATATATATATATATTAAAATGGAGCTTAAATGAAAATATTTAAAAAAAACTATCTTATAAATATAGATAATAGATAAAGAAGTAGAAAAAAATTAATTAATATTGATGTTACAATTTTAAAGAAGAAACTTCTATTTATTTTTTAAGGACTTAAGTGAGTCAAATAAATATAAATAAGATAAATAATTAATATATATATTTTTTTAAAAATATATTTTAATAAAATTTACCTAAAAATATGAAGAATTGTTACTCAAAGAAGACCACTTGTGAACCAAGGTTAAAATCAAAACTCAAGATATAAAATTTCATAGCTATAGTAATTTTAGGATTTTTTGGCTCATCAAAAAAAAGAATGTTGTAGAATACTTAAGAAAATATTTTTGAGAGTTGATTTTATATAATTTAAAGATATTTTGAGGTTTTGAGGGCTTTTCAAAGTAAAAGATGTATTTAATAGATTTAAATTTTGAGAAATAAAAATAATTTTATAAACTTGATTCTTTTGTGAGTATTGTAAAATATTTATAAATGAAAACTTAGTAATTTTTTATTTTTTTTGTTTTAAATATATGTAAGAAATTTGATATCAATCAAGCTATTATATTGAAGGTTGTGAGAGTTTTTGTGGATTATGGCCTTTGATAATTGAAATTTAGGATCAATGAGGATTTTTGAGATCTTACAATATCTACTAGTTTGATTGAAGCAAAATTTTGTGAAAGCCATTTAGACTTAGAAATCTATTTATCAATAATTTTTAAAAAATAATTTAATAATTCAACATAGAAAAATTGTTGTTGAAAAATCAACATTCAATTTGGAAAAGGAAGACAACTAATATTTGAGAGGTTTTGGAAGCTTTTCTATCAATAATTGTTGATTCTTCTCAAATTTTGTGTACTTATTAATTATGTATAGATTAAAATTTAAGTAAAATTTGAATAAAATTTAATATTTCAATTAATATTTATTAAAAATTTAACATAGCTAAACTAGTTAATGAATATTAATTTAGGATTTTATTGATGTTATTAAGGATTTGATTAGGAATAGATTAAGATTTGGTCTAAGATTTGGTCTAGGATTTTTTTAGCATTTTATTAGAACTTCATTAAATGTCACAGTCATAGATTTATTATGAATTATTATTTAGATCATATGAATAGGTAGAAGTAGGTAAAAGTAGATTAATTTCATAATATCTTCTAGAAAAGCTTCCTAGAAGCTTCATAGACGTTGTTTTGACTTTACATGTGTTTATACTTGATTGATAGGTTAGAAACTTAGTCAACAAGTTAATCATGTGCGATACATGTTGGTAGCTTGCAAAACAAGCTAATTATGTAGCACCTATATAGAGAACTTGCCTTGCAAGTTAAGATACGTGTTGTACAAAATCAACACCTTTTCAGAGGTCCTATAGAACGTCACCACATAGCTCATAGGTAGATAGTATATATAGAGGCAATAGTGAAGCCTTCTTCACTCTTTTCAATTCCTTTCTTGCTTCAAGTCTAGTTTCAAGAGTCCCTAGTTTTCTTGTTTTTTGGCAATAGCCATTCTAGTTTCTTTCTTAATATATATATTTAATTATTTCTATTTTGTTATCTTTCTTTGAGAATAGTCTTATTTGTTTATTTATTTTTATCAAGTTCTTGTCCTTGACAGATTGACAAGAGTATACTTACAATATTAAAGTTTTGTCTAATCTTGATTAAGAGTAGATTATTCCTTTTTCTTGATAAGACATAAGCGTATTAGAAGTTGTGGATTATCCTCTTCTAAACTGATATTGTTCTTAGTATTTTCTTTGTTCTTAAGTCCTCTCCTCTATTTGTCTTGAGCAATATTAGTCATCTTCTCTTTTCTAAGTGTTATCATGGCAAAACTTGCTGAAATGAAGAATACAATGGCACAAATGCAAGAGTAATTGAGGGAGTTAATGCTTGCGATGCATCAACTCAA